GTTAAAGATGATTTTGATGTTAAATGTCTCCTTTAGGTATGTTAAAATAATCAAAGAGTTTTGGCATTAATATGACCAATAAGAAATTATCATTTAAGGCTTAACCTATTTATTCTTATCAGAAAAGCTAAAACGATAAACTTATTGATTATTTGTTAGCATTTCTGTTAAATTATCAACTAATGTATCCCTCCACCAACAGGTGTGCTTTATATAGTAAATACACCAAGGGCGTAAACTTTCCTCTTCCGACCGTTGAAAAAACCGTAAAGCATTCAAATTGTATTTTTGAACAAAGAGACTGATTCAATACAAGCTTAACATCGGCAAGAGTTAAAAAGCTTGATCCAATACAGTGTTAAACAAATTGAAAAAACCCTTTTTTATTGTATTTTTTATAAGTCTTCTTATTATCTCCCTACATTGGCTTCTCTTTTGTTTCGAGGTTTTAAAAGAATCGGTGTTATCGACTGTATCTTTTCTATTCGATCTCTCACAGTTGTGTTAAAATATAAGATAACAAGAAAGAAAAATGTTAAGCGGATATTCTCGACTCCAGTGGATTTCTTTTTACACTTGAAATAAAAAGATCGGCTGTAATCCCACATAGCATCTAATAAAAACAGCCGATTTTCTCCAGTAAATTTACAATTATAAAATAGGCTCCCTATTTTATGTTAACACCAATGCCAATATATTCAAGAGATTGACTTATTTACTAAAATCATGCAACAATACCACAAAATCAAACACCAATGCCGTAACCAAAATTATAATTTGTACATAGTGGATGTTGACTTGTTTAGAGAGCGCAAGGCGGAGCAGGTGTGTGCATGTGGTTAGCTTGAGGTTGTTAAAAGCTTCCGACGAAAATGGTTTAACGTACATTTACTACATTTATGGTTTGTGAATATTAACAATAATATTGTTTAATACGTTCTTATTATGACGTGTCATGGGTAATATTGTTTAATACGTTCTTATTAGGACGTGTCATGGGTAATATTGTTTAATACGTTATTAGTATGACGTTGTTTATGACATGAGTAATGCTGTTTATAGTTTCATCTTCTCCTAATACAAGCTACAACTACCTAATTTTAAAAACGGGAATTTCTTAATCAGTAAATGAGTTGGTCAAAGTTAATTTATTCGTTGGCCATCTTCAGGTCAATTAAATATAGCGATTCTTCTTGGAATAAAATATACTTCCCAGCCAATTGAAAATATTTAAGCATAACACATTTTAAGATTTGTGTTTAATTTTAATGTCCAGTAAGTTTCAATGGTGTTACTATGTTACTAGACAGTAAATTTAACTACATGTTTTACTCTTTGCTTAAAATATAAGAGGTAAATAATTAGGTAACAAATAGATTAGATACGGTTGTTACACTTTCATGTCTAGAAGATGTACAAAGGTGTTAACTTCAAAACTTTCTTTATTTTCTGAGACAGAAGCAGAGCATAAAATTATATCCACCTAAACCATAAAGTTTTTTTTTTTTTTTTTTTTTTTTTTTTTTTTTTTTTTTTGAAAAATGTTAAACTAACATGAAATATGTATGGGCTGAAATCCCTTGTGTAAATTCGCCATAAATACGTCGGCTGCAATCTAATTTTAAACCTAAAATTGTTTTGGTTGACCATATGATTCAATTTACATTGAGCACACTGTCGATGGACACAAACTACGTATAATGATTTATTCAAACATAAAATCTCTGAAACTACTATGGTTAGTAGTACGTGGATTTAAGGTAAATTCTCATGCAGTTTGTTAATAAAAACATTGTTTTAGTGTATTCATGATAAGCAATAATTGTCATTTTGTCTTTTTATGGATTGTCAGTTTCTTAGAGGAATGGTAATAAATTTCCACTCAATATTGTAATCCTAAATTGTTTTAGTTATATGTATGACTGATGAGTTATTGTGCAATGACATAAATAATTGATTGTCAGTTTCCTGAACCGTAGTAAATTTCTAATTAATATTGTAAACCAAAATGATTTGGGTTTGGGCTGTGGAGGGTCCATTAAGCATTCTGCCATCACTTATAATGTAATATTCTTTATGGTTTATTCATTTCATATACAGCTATACACCATTAACAACATTTCGTTCATTTTTGGAAGAAGTATTAATAATTAATAATCGATATAAGTTTAATAATAACAATAATAAAGTATAATTTTACGGTTGTATAATATAACTAGCTGTGTACCCGTTCTACGCACGGGGATCTTATAATATTCAGTTGAAACCTTCTTATATAAAGAACAGCAGTTGGTTTGCATATTTTAAGATATGCTGGCCAAACTATTATACATAGCTTCATTTTATGTTGTTTTTTGTTGTTCCGGATCGGTATGACAATCAATAAAAGGTTAAATTACCTCTGTGTCTGCCGGTCGATCCTATAACGGTAGGCTTACTTTTATTTTTACTATCTGATCTCGTTTGCATGGCTCAATCACGTCCTGGTTGAAGTTCGTTCGCTACGCTCACTCACCTGTATGTTGGAGCTCGTTCGCTGCGCTCACTTTCCTTCAGGTTAGCTCGTTCGCTACGCTCACTTGCCTTCAGGTTAGCTCGTTCGCTACGCTCACTCGCCTCCAGGTTGCAAATTAGCTGTTGTCATAAATGTAAAAGAAATAATAGTGCTAGTGCTGCACCCTGTTGGTAATCCTTGTAACTTTAATGCTATTGAACATCACAGAACAGAACCAACTTGTTTAATTGAAACAGCTGTTAAGATTCAATAATTTCATTTCTCATAAGGTTAACATGGGCTTCCAGAAATTCCACGTCAAAAATCGACAAAAACTTGATTTTCAAGGGTTTACTGTTAAATATCTAACTGTCTCATATTCGATGAAATACGTCTAAAACCATCTCATATATGTATAGTATTTGGAAAATAAGTTTCAGGCGGGACAGTGCTATAGTTATTGAGGAGTAGTTGTAATAAAGTGCGTATTTTAGCGTTACCAAGAGAATGACAGATAGACAGACAGACAGACAGACAGACAGACAGACAGAAATTGAGATAAGGTTTGATTCGGTTTCTCTGACCTATGAAATGTAAAAATAACCAAAAAGTTCATTATTCTAAGCAATGTACAGACAAAACTCTAATTTTATTTATATAGATGTTTCATTATATAACAAGCATGAAACTGTCTCAATAGACTTTAGCAAAAGACAACATCACGGATACTTCAAAAATAAAATAAGCTTGACACGAAAAAACACACACCGAAAACCTTATGAAAAATAATCAAGAGTAGCCATTTAAAGACGCCACAACCTCACAAATATCGCTGTAATGCGACCCATTAAAGGCACCTCTTAGAGACCAACAGTATATCACCGCTCTGCAGAATCACAAAGGAAGAGGCCTCAGGATAGCTGCCGATTTGCTGTTTTTGAAGGCCAGGAGAGATGGACCGAAGAAGTAAACCTCAGAGGAAAATTGTCAGTTCTCATAAGCCTTGGGACATGCAATTTCTATCACATTTAATCCGTCGTAATGAGAATAATTAAAACAACTGTTCTTTTAGCGTATTTATGATGAGTGTTTTTGCATTAGACACTGTCTTAGGTTGATAAACTGCTACTATCTGGGTTGTTCTAAGTTTACTGAAACGCCCTTGTTAAGTCTCCAATTAATGTTTTGGCTGCAATGACATATGCACTTACCCGTTCATTGTAACAAAGTGGATAAATACTCAATCAATATTGTAATATAAGTCGTTTTAATAGGATGGATGAGGTGATTAGATCATCAGAAAGAAAATTTAATGACCTAAATAAATGTTAATTTACTATGTTGACGTCAGTAACTTTCCAATAAATTTTGAAAGTTCAAATGATTTCGATTGTAAACATGGGTTTTTGGAAATTTTTATCATGGCTCAAACTGCAATTTTAGTTAACTGTAACAATATCATTAAATTTCCAATCAGTTAGAAATCCAAAATGGGTTTGGTTGTATTTATTAGGCGTTTACTTATATAGAGCATAAAGTAATCAGGATGTAATGCCCTAGGTTTTGGGTCCATTGATGCCCATTCCCTAAAACCATTTTTATAATAATTTCTCGATAATTTCGTAAACACAAAACAGTTTTGATTGTTAAACTATGCGGCTATCATCAAGTGCAATCTGTATTGTAGAAATCTATAATCCTATGTATATATATATATGCATCAATAACTGTTAGTTTATCATAATCACAGTTTTAAATAAAACTAATGTAAGTGAAATGAATTTTTTTTGTTACGAAAAAAAGTGTCAACAGACATAAACTGTAATTTAAATAATCGTTAGCTTAATCCACTGCAAAGAGAAACTTCCATCCAGTGTTGTAGTTAAATATCTTTGTGGTTTTAAGCTTTATTTACATTGTGTAAACTGTCATTAAGTAAAAACTACCTAAATATTTTCCCTGTAGAGATAAAAATGTTATCAGTAAACTTGCAATCAATCTAGTAATCCAACGGTCCAATACTCGGGACGCGTCCATTGGAAACATTAATCACGCGACTAAAACCTCATTTAAAAACTCGTTAACCAAACCAACACTTTGCAATTGAATACGTGGAGCGTGAAAAACCCAGTAATTTATTTCATTACCCCTCTATGAATACTGAATACGAAGTAAAATGAAACAGCAATTAATTAAAAGCCATTCCGAGCTCGGACAATCAAAGTGTTCACGGTGCGGTAAACTGAGGTTAGTTTTGTAACTTAGGAAATATTTGGCACACTGAAACTGCAAAAGGAACTTTGTGAGTTGTGAAAACAACGAAAGCTTATGCGAGCCACTTAACTGATTAGAAGATTATCTAATTATCTCTGCATCTTTCGACGGAATCAACGATGTCTCAACGAGTAATTAGTCATTCTTTTATCGACGCTAGTTGCCGAAGTGAGCCGAAGATGCCCGATGTTCCCCGAGCCACCCCATCCCCCACCCACTCGCTGAATGTTCACAACATAGCGCGCTGACGCTCATCTGTGTACGTAACGTGTTGTGGTTGTGTGTGTCGAAACTTTTGTAGTGTAAGGTTTGGGGATTGATAACAATACTTATAGGTAAGAAAATTGGCTACAACTGTAATCTTCTATATACATTTTAATAGTTATTCTACTACCTTGTCAGGATTTGAATGGATTAACATTTTAATCGTTAACTGTATTTTATACGTAAAAAAAACTTCAGTCAGATGAAAAAAAGTAAAAAAAAACACGATCCATGTGTTTAAATCAGGAAAAATATTAGAAGACAAGACTCAGATTAAGACAATATGAAAATTACGGATAAAAGAACAACACATCTCAAGGGATCAGTTATATCTTGTATAATTGATAGCATTTATCGAGTTTCCCGTTAATGTAAAATGAACAACGTTATACAACGGTTGAAGTTTAACAAAGTCGGAGGTGCCAAGTTATAAGAAGTAAGGCTACATTAAAAGGTGACATATAAGTAATTTCAGAAGTTTTATGCTCTATATTCTTCGTACAAAAGAAAACCCACGACAAATAAATAACTTTTCGATTAGAAGTACATAAAAGCTTACGTCGTGATGATAATTTATAAAGCAAGAGCGTTTTTTGCACACACCTAGTTATATGTTGTTTTGATCAGCATGGACCCTTAAGATAAATAAATGTCATATTGAATATATGTCATAAAACCCTTTTAGACAATTTCCCCTATAAGAAAGACCTATTAATATGCGTGGTGTTGACTTAGACTTCAGACCGATTGACTTTTATTTGTTGATGTCCCTAGAAACAAACACAGAATTCTTTAAAATTTATAATATATGAATCCCTGTGTGTGGATAAACACGGTAAGCCAATTTTCCCCCCATTTTGATGAAATTCAGCGTGAATGTGTATTGTAGGCTGAATAAACTTAATTGAGTCCGAGAACTATCAAGGTGATGAGAATCAAGTGTTATTAGATTTTTTTAAATTTTAAAAAGCAGCTTTTTCGAATAACTACCATGCAATCATAAAAGTACCTTATATTTTTTAGTCATCGCGTAGAACTAAAAACAATAATGTTGTGCATAATAGAAATGCGCCTTTATGTGTTCATGTGAAGCATTGTTCTAAGACTAAAGGTTACGAAGAAAATTGAATTTTTTTTAAATATTATTTTTAGTTGTAAAAAAATAAACTGTTTTTTACTTAGCTTTTCTATATTTTAAAAAATTAGGAAAATTCTTTATTTTCATACTTTATCAACTGTTTACCAAAAAGAATTTCATTCCCTCTAGAAGCAAACCTAAAGTACTCACAAAACGTAAATCATTCGAATCGGGAATACATCTGACAACTTCAACGAAAGCTTTTGGTTAAAATACAATTCGGCAAATGGAAATTCGCCTAGTATGCTGGTTTGCTGCTGCAGGGGTTATGCATCATAAAACGGTATTTTGATTGTCATAAACTATTGAATGATTACCCCCAAACTGCGTATATAAAATCGTGTTTCAAACATGTTTGCCTACTTAAAATAATGTAAGTACACCAATAATAGTATAAAAATTAATACTAAGCGAACTTCTAATAAAATATTTTAACAACAGAGTACTCAAATAAACAATAATAGGCCAATAACATAGTTGAATACATAATTTATAAGAAAATTACAAAAAAACTTGTATATAAAAGTTATGATTATTTAAACATTAAATCACTTTAATGAATGATTGGAATATTTTTCATCCATTACAAACTCACCTCTTCGACAAGAAAATACCAAATTGTTGGATGCGTTTACATTCTTTCCATAGCTTATGGATTTTTAGAAATTATCATATTATGAAATACTATAGGGTGTTACTGAGTCAAATAGGAAAGCATTTCTGCTATGCAATTGGATTTTGTTGCATGTAGGAAATAATTTTATACAATATTCTAGTATCTTACAATTTTTACGTAGACCTATTTAATATTTAACAAACTCAACATAAATTCTAAGGCTTCTGTCGTTTTAATTAAAGCCTAAGAAGGTAATAAGATCAAATATTTGAACTGGAATGATACGTTTTTTGCCTTTTTAAGTCGTAGAAGTCTGGACGTAAAGTGTATTTTTTTATCGTAATTGCCCTTGTTGTATACGTAAACTTCGTCTTTCATTATCATTATCATTATCATTTTCAACAAACAAACATTGTTGTTATTGTTTTCATTGTAAACAATTGAAATATATCAAGACTTTAAATCAGTTTGTACGGAGTATATTTAAGTACATATTAGAACGTAATATACATTGAACCGTCAAGCTATAAATACAAGTTATTAGATCCAACAAAGTACACATCATTTTTTGGTTTACTAAAAAAATAATAATAGTGTAAAATTCAACTATCATTAAACTTAAGCAAATCTATCTTTTTCGTCTCTAATTGGAAAGCAATATCCAATTAAGAGAGATTAAACTCCAACTTAAAATGTATCGTTTAAGTTTCCTTAAAAGACGAACCCAAAGCGACAGTATGATTAAGTCAAGTAGTTGTCACATTGTTTGAAAGTTTTGGGGATTGTTGTGATTATATCAATCTCAGATCTCCAAAACTGCTTCAACTTTTAAATTAATCTCACATAACCTAACCACGCATCATATCATATAAAACTAATGAAACTATAATCCCTAAAAATAAACTTATAAACAAGTCCGCTCATCGTCCACATTTTCCCCGTGGTATCAATATTATAGAGACCTCGGTTTTTGTCACTCTGGCGCTTGGGGATTTATTCATGTAGACTTTGACATGTTATATATACGGGTTTGTTTTAACATTTCGTACCTTCATATTAGTACAATTATTTGAAGTATAATTTTAAATGCTGTGTTGTTTTTAATTCTTTAAACATTTAACTGTGAGTCAAGGTATTAGTTTTCTCTGGGCACAGTTTTCATGAAACATCCACGAAACTGATAATGCACTCTTGTCAATGTCCTACACTTTCCTACAACATCTCTATAATGCCGCCAACATGCACTTCACATGTGTATACTGTCAGCCTGTGGGCGTAAGTAAGTTAATCATCTGTTAGCTCATATCAAATTAGGTCAAATCGTGCTTTATATCACATGACTATAAAAGAGAAGTACATTTTTAAATAAATCGTATATCAGAAATAGAACCAACAATTCAAAATAAATTCCGCTGAGTATTCTATCTTTGCACTTTAAGCACTGTAACATACGAAGCAGTTGAATTATGCTGGAAGATAATATATGTAAAAGTACCGAATATGAAATTCTGCTTTGTATACAATTTATACTTGTAAGTCCACGGCATGGTCTCAATATCGGATTGAAATAAGTCCTCAGAATAACAAGACCTGTTTAGCCTATGAATAGGGCAAAATTAAAAGATTGGCCAACATTAAAATACTCCATCTTAGAATTATAAATGCATTTGTTTACATTTTTAAAATGGTTTAGGACAACAAATCTATTTTAGTATATTTTATATTGTGAAAAATTAGACGAACAGAATCACAAAAATGCATAACTCTTCCGTAGATATACACACTGTATACGTAATTTATGTGTACTAAATTTACGTACTGATTCCTAGGGTCAAATTAAAAAGAAAGTTAAGCATAACATTTTTTTTAAAATCATTTTTTTAACCAGATATCCGCCATTTTGTATTTTTACATACACATTTTTATCTTTGAATTTTTTCAACCGATCTTTATGAAAAATTGCTATGTATGTTGAGGTTGAAGAAACCCATGTTAGAAAGAAAATTCATCTTGATTCAACTAAAAGTTTCAAAATGGTGCCAATTTCGATTTTCTTTACTTAAATTACAAAAAAATGATAGATTTTACGAAAAAATCTTACGAACACTTTTAAATGGCATTTGTAATTCCCTATCAAACAGAACCAAGTTCAAAAAGATCGATTAAGTAATAGCTGAAATATTAAGATTTGTATAATGGGGCATACCGGCATACCTGACTAGCTTCTGCCTTATTCTACCCCATTTTACAACTAAAAACCTATTGCTTTTTCAATCTCTTTGAACTTTGATAGGGTATCGTCTTTTTTATTTTACCGTATAGGCCCAGTCTTTTTTGGTATCGTTTGACAGGGAATTAGCTAAATAAAAGTATACTTAACATGTTATCATAAAACCAGCCATTTTTGAATAATTTAAGTTTAAAATTATAAAATGGCCACCGTTTTGAAATTTCTTGTTGAATCAAGATGAATTTTCTTTCTAACATGTGTGTCTTCTACCAATACATACAAAGTTTCATAAAGATCAGTTGAAAAAAATCTAAGATAAAAATGTTTATATAAACAATAAACAATTTGGGATATCTGGTTAACGGAGCGATTTTGGGAAAAATTTTATTCTTGATTTTCTATTTATTTTGACCCAAGAAATTAGTACGTAAATTATATGCCCACCTTTTTTGAAAACGGTTGAAGGTTTTTGAAAACCTTTTTTGAAATAATATTGCACATAGGAACCCATGTACTATCTATCTATTATCTATTTATGATAATTATAATTGAATTAATTAATACAAAAGCAGTTGACTACAGTAAATGCTTTTAGAAATTTCCATCTTGGCTAAAAATATTTTGAAGAAACCACATACATGATTATAGGAAAACTTTCTTCCAAGATTGCAACAATAGTTAGTCTTAAAATTCACTTTTTTCCTACAAGGTCAATATAGCAGCCATGTCAGAGTTTCGAAAGTACATATTTGTAGAGTTAGTCGAAAAAGTTTTGTATTTACTTTGCGGAATGAACAAGGAACCTGCGTTCTGTTTGGTTTTCTGTGTCCCCAATTCACAACTCACACACTTGAGTCTTAGGGAGCAAAATCCTGGAAATATGACGTCAAACAGAAAGTGTTTTAAGTACTGTAGTATTAAAACGTTTTTACATCTTCCAAAAAAATGGTATTAAATGCAATCTTTATTAATTAGTCAATAATACAAATTTTGGATCAACTCAAAGTTGAATTCGCCTCATTACTGAACCTGAATAAGCATAAATGTTCCACATAATTAAGTTTTTTTTTGTAAATTCAAACATCTC